AACCTTGATGAGAAGATGCGTCGCTCAGCTACTCTCTAACCCTGCAGAAAAGACATAACATACTGGTCTTTGATGTCACACGGCTTTGTCGTGTGGAGCCAAGGTGACAAATGCACATATAAACCCCAAATTTCTGCCCACTTACTAAGAGAAGGCAGAGATGGAACTGAGATTCTGTCCACAGCCACTGACTCGGACCCTAGCTATGAGGGACCTCCGCTGAGTTTGAGCCATGGTCAAGCCTTCCTCCCAAAACCTCTCATTAAAGGTAAAATCCTAAAGTCTAAAAATTTTAACTCTAACCATTGAACTAACATTATAATTGTAATTGATAATTCTGATTCTCCGGTTCTAAATGAATGTTGTGAGGTCTTAACTTGTGTGCCTTGCCACGACTACCTTGCAGTAAACTGAGTTTATGCATGACAAACCTGCATATCCCTCTATTAATTTTCTAAAATTTCTAAAATCCTGCACAACACCTCCCCAGTTCTCACACCAACCACAGAACTGGTCAACTCTTGCTGTGCCCAGGGAGCCAGGCAGCCAGAGTCGCATCTTCCAGGGTATTGCCTACTGCAGGCCAGGCAGCAGGGGCAGGTATGGACAAAGACAGTGGTCTTGCTGACCAAAGCAGGAGATGGGGTGGAAAGCGCTCCTGGCGTTGGAGACATCCTACTCTGGGATTCCTATTTGGTAGCCTCCCAGGATAACAGTAATCATCTTGAAGGATTCTTTCAAGACTAAACAAGAAAATGCTGATTAAGTGCCTAGCTCAGAATAAAACAAACAAACAAACATATCCAAATCTATTGCCATCGAGTCGATTCTGAGTCATAGTGACCCTATAGGACAGAGTAGAACTGCCCATAGTTTCCCAAGGCTGTGGTCTTTATGGAAGCAGACTGCCATATCTTTCTCCCATGGAGTGGCTGGTGGGTTTGAATCGCCAAACATTTGTTTAACAGCAGAGTACTTAACCACTGTGCCACCACAGCTCAAGTATATGTCTAAAAATATGAGTGTTCCTCTCTCCTCTTCCCCATATCCCTCCTGCCTTCATCATTTCAATTCAATAAGTATTGAGTACCTCACAATGCCAGTGTAAAAAATATATGAGTTGAAATAAAGAGTACATTATATAGCTCTGTCTGTATATCTACCTTAGTTTCTTAGTGCTGCTATAACAGAAATACCACAAATGGGTGGCTTTAAAGAACAGAAATTTATTTTCTCATAGTTTAGGAGGCTAGAAGTCTGAATTCAGGGTGCTGGCTCTAGTGGAAGGCTCTCTCTGTCCACTTTTCAGTAATGGTGTCCTAGGGTTGATGTCACCCAGTGCAGTAAGTCATGGTTTCACACCCCTCCCCACCGCTGCCATGGACTTCCTCCCGTACCAGACCATACAGATTCCTTAATGTCTTAGTTATCTAGTGCTGCTATAACAGAAATACCACAAGTGGATGGCTTTAACAAAGAGAACTTTATTCTCTCACAGTCTGATAGGCTAGAAATCCAAATTTAGGGCATCATCTCCAGGGGAAGGCTTTCTGTCTCTGTCAGCTCTGGAGGAAGGTCCTTGTCACCAATCTTCCCCTGGTCTAGACACTTCTCAGCACAGGAATCCCAGATCCAAAGGACACGCTCTGCTCCCAGTGCTGCTTTCTTGGTGGTATGAGTTTCCCCTGTCTCTCTACTCGTTTCTGTCTTTTATATCTCAAAAGAGATTGATTTAAGACACAACCTAATCCTGTAGATTGAGTCCTGCCTCATTAACATAAACTGCCACTAATCTCACCTCATTAACATCATAGAGATAGGATTTACAACACATAGGAAAATCACTTCAGATGACAGAATGGTGGACAATCACACAATACTGGGAATCACGGTCTAGTCAAGTTGACAGGTATTTTGGGAGGACACGATTCAGTCCATGGCACTTAGTAATGTTTATTATCAATTTTAGTCATAGAATAATATGTGGTAAATATAGTTGTAAATTGCTTAAATGTAATATTTCTTAGAGTATATGAATTATAGCAAAATTATTTTGTAAAATCTACATTGAATTATAACATTATTATTGACAACATTATTAGTAACTGAGCAGAAGCCGTTTTTTATTTTTTTTCCTTCTTTTGCTTTAATTACTACTTCATTCTCAAAAAAGTTATTGATATAGCTTAACAAATACTAAAAAAAATAAAAGAAAACCCGCTGCCGAAGTCAATTCCAGCTCATAGCAACCTTATAGGACAGAGTAGAACTGCTCCATAGGGTTTCCAAGGAGCAGCTGGTGGATTCGAACTGCTGACCTATTGGTTAGCAGCAGTGGCTCTTAACCACTGCACCACCAGGGCTCCTCACAAATACTAATTATCACAATATTGTAGCCAAAACAGCAGAAAATTTGACAAAATCAGTGACTATAAAAACACTGGCAGCAACAAAAACAGCAGTGCCGTGCTTGTAGCTTGTGCTTGTAGCACATGCAGATGAAACCACGTGATTCGAAGCATCATTGTAATTGAGTAATAATGACAGCTCTGATTGGAGTGCATTAGAAGGTTCAAAAAGTAAAATAACATAGAGTTTTAGCCTTATTGGTATATTGACATATATGTAAGCTAGCCTTATGAAAAATATTTTGTTGTTATAACTAACTACAGTGATATTTGTATAAAAAATAATAAATTTCTGCTGAAACACTGCACAAAAATTTTACAGACAGTCATTTCAGTGTTACCCCCTCCCACAGTGTCACCTGGTGTGATCCACACCCCCTGAACTCTAGTGATGCCACCGCTTTTCAGCTTCTGTTCCTTGGTTCCTTGGCAGTCTTCATGTGGCGTGGCATTTATCTTCCCCCGTGCAATGGATAATGGGCTATTCTGCATCACTTCCATGGGACTTGGGGGACAAAAGGGGATCTAATACAAATAAGTTATGGATTTTCTGTTTTTAATCTACTTGGGATTGTAAGACTTATTGAATTTGTCTCCTGATGTCTTTCCTCAGTGTGGGAATATACTCAACCATAACATAGTCTAATATTGCTTCTACCCCATTTTTTGTCTCTTTTCCTTCTAGAGCTCTTAAAAATATGGTAGAATCTATCATCTTCTACTCTATGTCTCTCATCCTCTTCATTAGATTTTTGTTTTTTTCTTTCTATCTCTCCATGCTTTATTATTGATATTTTCTTTTTGCCTGTTGTTATGTTCACTGATTCTATCTTCAGTTGTGTCTAATCTGTTGGAAAACTCATCCATGGAGTTCTTAGTTTTAATTATTGTATTTTTCAGTTTTAGAATTTCTATTTAGTTCTTTTTTAAATATGCTGTCTCCTTTTTTAAAATTATAGTTCCCAGTTCTCTGCCCAAATTCTGAAGCCATTCTTTTATCTAGGTGAAAATAATAAGCATAAATATTTAAAACATGTATTTCATCACATCGATCTGTGGAGCTCCTGTAGGTCCGTTTCTTTTGTCTATTACTATTGTCTTTCTTGTTTATGGTGTTATGTCTTTTTATGTGCATGATTATTTTTCATTGTCAAAACACAATAAAAATATTTCAAAAATATTTTTAATTACTTGTAAAAACAATTGAGAAGTTGTATGATATTATCTTCCTCCAGAAAGATTACTGTTTGATTCTGTCAGATTCCTGAGGGGCAGTAACAACCCAGATCACCTCAAATCAGTTTCTAGGGATTGAGATAACAGAAGGCTAGTTTACAGTTCCTCCAAGAGCTGGTCTATTTCTGGCTCACCTTAGTCCTAAGGTATAGTCTGCAAGGTCCCGACCAAAAGCAGAAGAGATTTACTGGCATCCCCCTTTGGAAAGTTCTGGGGTCCAACTTTAATCTCCATACCCTTGTGAGTCAGTCAAAAATACTACTCAGCTTCTTAGCCTTACAGAAAGAAGTCTCGTCTGAAACTGGCAAATACTCCACCGGAAGAGCAGACCCAAATGCTAAGTTCAGGTCTCTGGAATTATGTCTTTTCCAAGATCTTATAATTATCCATTAACTTTTAAGCAATGGAGATACACACACACACACACACACATATTTTTAATTTTACTCTAGTTTTTTTTTTACTTTTCCTCAGGTACGTCTATTCTAGAACTCAGACACATAATTTAAAAGCTTACCACAGAGAAACCCCAGGCCCAGATGTCTTCACTAGTGACATTTACTAAGCATTTCGGGAGGAAATAATACCAATTGTGTATTTGGGTGTGTTTACACAAGCTCTTTCAGAGAATAGAGAAAAAGGCAGCACTTCTCAGTACATTTTAGGAGGTTGTGATGGTTAAGATTGTGTGTCACCTTGGCTGGGCCATGATTCTCCGTGTTTTAATGTAATCACTCCC